CTGTGTGTGTGTGTGTGTGTGTGTGTGTGTGTGTGTGTGTGTGTGTGTGTGAGAGAGTGTGTCTGTGCGTCTGTGTCTGCGCGTGTGTATTTAGTGTGTAGATGAATATCTGCTCCAGTATGTAAATGTTTAGCGTGTGGAGTCAGAGCAGATATTAGTCCCGCACACCTGATAGCATCAAACCGTCAGCATGTCGACTTCTGCAAAAATTCAAGGAGAAAACAGCTATTTGAAACTGTAACAATATTTCACAATATTGCTATTTTTACTGTATTTTTGATCAAACAAATGTAGCTTTGGTGAGCAGAAGAGACTTCCTTCAGAAACATTCTTTTGAACCCAAACTATTGTAGTTTTTAGTTTTTCGTACTTTGTTTAATTTAACATTTTAGTAATTTAGTTTTTTGTGTGTGTTTTTTGTCATTCTTATTAGTTTCTTTTTTATGGTTTTTAAATGATTTATAGATTAAATATCATTAAATACTACAAAAACAGTTTCATATTATGAAATGAAAAGTAAAAAAAAAACTCCTAAATTATAATTAATAAAAATAATCTAATATATAATTATAATAAATTACTTATATTAATTTGTATTATGTTTGTTATTAAATATGTATATTTAATGGGTATATGAAATATTTAATAATATTAATATTTTTTATAATTATAATACACTAATTTCAATATTTATTTCTATTTCAGTTGTAGTTATTTTAGTACATCAAGTTAAACTAAATAAAAATGAAAAAATGTTGCTGATATATACGTTTTTTAATGTTTATTTTATTTTTTATTTGTATTTATTTCTTTTTAGTTAACCATAATAACCCAGATTTGAACGAAACCATTCGCATTTCCTTCAGAAAGTGTGAATCTCATAGTCTGTGCTCTCAGCGTGTCTATGGTCTGATCATGAGCACTCTTGCGTCTATCAGCGCTCGCTCTCCAGGACAGAAGGAGCCAATGCTCCTGAGATAAGAGACTTCTGAAGACGCCTGATAACCCAGCGTGCATCTCTCTCTCCGTCTGATTCATAGATGCTGTGTTTAACAATAATTACACTGATGTGCCCGGGGGTTTGTATGTTCCTCTCCGGTCGCAGCGCGTCTGAATTCTGCTCTGTTTTTCTCGACAGGCTCCAGATAAACACAGCATCACCCCGCTGCTGTCTGCCACTTACGAGGGTCACGTGACCTGCGTGAAGATTCTTCTAGAAAAGGTAGCGATGCATTCGCATGTCCTCCCGCTGAGTGCAAATGTGTGTGCGAGTGTGCGTGTGTGCGTGTGCGTGTGTGTGTGCGTGCGTGTGTGTGAGCGTGCGTGTGTGTGAGCGTGTGTGAGTGTGTGAGTGTGTGAGAGAGTGAGTGTGTGTGTGTGAGAGAGTGAGTGTGTGAGTGTGTGTGTGAGAGAGTGAGTGTGTGTGCGTGTGTGCGTGTGCGTGTGTGTGTGCGTGCGTGTGTGTGAGCGTGTGTGAGTGTGTGAGTGTGTGAGAGAGTGAGTGTGTGTGTGTGAGAGAGTGAGTGTGTGAGTGTGTGTGTGAGAGAGTGAGTGTGTGTGTGTGTGTGAGTGAGTGTGTGTGAGTGAGTGTGTGTGAGTGTGTGAGTGTGTGAGTGTGTGAGTGTGTGTGTGTGTGTGTGTGAGTGTGTGCGTGCGTGCGTGTTTGTGTGAGAGAGTGTGTTTGTTTGTGTGTGTGTGTGTGTGTGTGTGTGAGATACAGGTGGGCAGCTGAGCAAAGTCTTGCATCACAGTATGATATAATAGATGACAGTAACGCTATATATCACAATTTTCCACTGGAAATTCAACAAAAATGGTTTGTTGATTAAAAAACAAATAATTACACAAACAATCTGTGCCTCTTGTGGCATAATCCAGTGATTCACATTATGAAACACTAAAACACATTGTTGATTTCAAAACAAAAGACTCTTAAATTATATTATTAAAATTATTCAGTATTATAGAAATAAATGTACTATCTTTTTTTTGTTTTGTTAAATTATTAAAATATTAGATATTTATAACAAACAATAAATATATTACACAATATTTAACTATATCTTATTTAGAATCATAAATTGGTGTCAAAAAGGTGACTTCAGGCTCAGTTTTGACAATATACAAGTTGTATGTTAACTTTATGCAATATTTGCATTAACACAATATACCACTTTTTTTGGCTGGATATTCAACAAAAATTATTTAGAGATTAAATATCAATATATTTGTGTGTATTTTGGAATAATCCTAATCAAAATTAAAATGATTTAAATAATATAATAAATTATAGTTTTTTTGTTTAATATGTAGATAAAAATAAATATAAATATAAATAAATAAAAAATGTAAATAAATTAATATTAACAAACATAATATTATGTTTAATTTTTTTAGGAATTGTAACTTAATAATCAGAATATAGTCAAGACTCTTAAATTATATATTTAAAATTGTTTAAATAAAAAAAAGATATATATTCAATTCAATTTGAGTTTATTTGTATAGAGCTTTTCACGATACAAATCGTTGCAAAGCAGCTTTACAGAAAATTAAGTTTCTACAATATATTTAGTAGTAGCTTATCAGTGGTGACTGTATATGTATATATATATATATATAACTCTAATTAAATTAATAATCTTTTTAACAATTGATTATATTTTACTTTTTGTTTAATACTTGTAAATAAAAAATAGCCAGTATAAACACGCCTATGACATGCATCAGTTGAGATCTATATTAAAGTGACAGGTTGTTTAATGTTCCTCAACATGCGTAAAAAGCTCATCTGGACTTCATATGGTGCCTAATAAGCAGCACCTCATGTTGACTTGTTTAGGAAGCGCTCCGAATATCTGCTGGCTGTGTTTGTGTTGTGTATATTGTGTCAGCGTGCAGTGCTGCTGTGCGTTCAGAGAAAGAGCTTTTTGTTTGTGGGTTTTAAAGCTGAAAGCGTCTGAGCGTCCGCAGGGTCAGACGGGGTTATATAACGCAGCACAGCGCTGCACGTTCTTCACTCAGATCCCCTCTGACGTGCTCGGGACGTCCCGCAGGAGCTCATCAGGCGTTTGTGCAGGAATATTTCAGCTTATTCTCCACTCAAATCCCCATCGGATCACTTTCTGGTGTCGTCTTGCACTCACACAGGAACATACGGAAGGGTTTAATCCCTTCTTTAAGATTCAGCCAGTAATAGGTTGAAATATGTTCCTTTTTTTCCCAAATTTCATTTTGTCCCCCCATTTTAAGCTGTCTGGTCTTTCTGGATGTTGTAATGGTGTTAGTAATCAAAAAGAAATTAATTGCGGTCATGAAACTTCTGCAGTTTAACAACAATTTAGTAAAAGTTCACCATTACAAAAAAATACATTTTTAGGGCCCTATGAAATGTTTTTCAAATTCTGTTACATTTTTGTACATTGTTTTCTATTTTAATTATTTCTAGATTTAATGGTTTGATAATTTTTTCTGGTTTTAATTGTTTAATTGAATTTTAATTACAACCTTTTTAGTAATAGTGCCCTATTATTAATTAATTTAATTTATCCTTTAATCAAATGAAAATCAAATCCTTTCAATTAATTTTTTTCCCTTAAAAATAGTTGTATTACTATTATTATTATCTATGTAGTAGTAGTATTATTATTACATTGATTTTTATTTATTTCTATCCTTTTTTCTCCATTACTTGTACATTATTTAGAAATTTCATGTGACAAAAAAAACATCATAATAAAATGAAAAATAATAAAGTATCAGTAGTGATTAAGCTTAGCTATTTTTATGTATATTTCTTTTAATAATTAGAAAATATTCTAATGGTTAAGTCTTTATTGTTCTACATTAAGTAGAAAGTTTCATATTATTGATTTTTAAAATGATCCGTGATTGTTATATGCCATATTTTCCGGTTTTAATGACATTAATGTGTTTGACTGGACATAAAAATGCAGCTTTTATAGGTTGCTTCTGTTGAATTGTTCTCTCACAGGATTGTGGGTGTTCAGTTCACAGCATGATGCAATTCACACCCGAGATCAGTCTGCGAATCTGAAAAACTGGCTCCTCAATAATCAAATAACACATGAACACTTCACCTGAAGAACTCCTGTCTAGTGGTTTTATTCGTACCAGGGTGTTAACTAAAACCATATGTGACCCTGGAGCACAAAACCAGTCATAAGGGGCCATTTTTCAAAATTGAGATGTATACATCATCTGAAAGCTGAATAAATAAGCTTTCCGTTGATGTATGGTTTGTTAGGATAGGACAATATTTGGCTGAGATACAACTATTTGAAAATCTGGAATCTGAGGGTGCAAAAAAATCTAAATATTGAGAAAATCATCTTTAAAGTTGTTCAAATGAAGTTCTTAGCAATGCATATTACTAATCAAACATTAAGTTTTGATATATTTACGGTAGGAAATTTACAAAATATCTTCATGGAACATGATCTTTACTTAATATCCTAATGATTTTTGGCATAAAAGAGAAATGTATAATTGTGACCCATACAATGTATTGTTGGCTATTGCTACAAATATCCCCCAGCGACTCAACACTGCTTTTGTGCTCCAGGGTCGCATATGTTATTATAAACTAAATGCAATTGGATTTAAAATTTACTATGAAAAAAAAAGACAATTTAATAAAACTAATTAAATTTCAGCTCATTGCAGAGGCAATGTACTAAAAGAACTCCAATCAAACTAGCTGAAACCAATCAATAAAATGAATAAAAAAATATTAAAATTAAAAAAAAAAAATCTGTTGATACCCTTGAAAAGGCAAAAGTTTTAGAATTTTTAGTTTTAATTAATTTAGTTTATAATTTGCATTTTAACAATGATTTTCAGCATGAAAATAGCCATTGAAGCTGGAATGGCATTAAAAAACAAAGAAACAAATCTGGAGATGGTATGGATCAAATCCAATGAGCAGTGTTTTTTCCTGGCCATCTGTTGGTGTGTTATTGTATTCGCCTTCTTCACTTTCCCGCTCTGATGCTCATAAACATGGCAGATGAGAGGAAGAGTCACATGACTGACAGACAGAAGGAGTGATAGAAAAGCACGTCCTCTTTTTTTTAGTCAGATGCTCTGAATAGGAAGTAAAACTTCCATAACTACCACCGGCAGAATCATGTCATTCATTTTATTCTTTAAGAGCGTATATTCTACACATTTCTTGCATTTTATTTTCCCCTGGAGTACACTTAAAACATTTGCCAAGTCATAATTTAATAGTTAATTTAGTTTTTTATGAAGATTCCTAAAATGAAACTGCTGTACCTTTAAGATCTTGACCTGTTAATGAGCTTTGTGATTGGCTCATTAAATGAGCCACAACCCACCAAGCTGCTGAACGCCCAATAGGTGTTGATATGCAAATGATATGCTAATAAAGTCGTGGTTGTGCTGTCAGCTAGTTTAAAATGTTTGCATTTTAGTTTGAGTAGATGATTCAGAGGAAAGTCTGAATTATGATCCTCAAAGTCTACATTCGACAAACTTTTATTAATGCTGATATGGTTTTGTGTTGCGTTTTTGTATCGTGAGTTTCTACCCAGCATGCATCAGCGCTGACCACAGCGCAGGGAACAAACGTTTATTATGCGGCGAGTGATGTGAGACTGAAGAATGAAGTGGTGTGTGTTTTCACAGCGAGTGAATGAAGAAATCGATGGCTCTTCAGATGTTTGATGGCCTTGGGTTTGGGCTCTGAACGCTCGCGGCTGAAGCCTCCAACTCTGACCTGTGTGTAAAGAGGAATAGTTCAGTGACGATCAATACGCTGCATCGATCCGCCCCGGGGATAATATTTCTGTAAAGGGCGGCGGGCCGCTCGATTACGCTCGTGTTTGAGGGGCCCCGCGGGGCCAGCTCCTGTAGATTATGCATGAGGTTCACTGTAATCAGCTCTTATTGGTCAGGTGGAAGCCTAATCTGCTCTAAATTGTTCTTTATTTCTTGAATAATGTCGTGTCGTGTGAAATCTAGCAGAACTTTGACTAACGTGAAGTCTGGTTATTTTGGATGAAACTGCAGAATTGGGGGCCGTTCACTCAGAACCGTTTTTTTGACACGTTTCACTGAGCTGCGTTGTTTGTTGAAGGGAGCGGAAGCATAAGAATGTCAATACTTTAGCGCTCGCTTGACTGTAAAATGTATATTTTTGGTCTACCGAATTTGTTTTGTTATTAGATTTTTGTCAGGAGAAACTCTGAAGGACTGTTTCTGTAGGATGGACACGGAGAACTTTGAGTTTATCACAAGCAATGCAAAGAAATGCAGCTTTTCTTCCTGTAAACTGCTTGCTCTAGCAGTGGTAGTAGTAATAATAATATAGTCATATTGATATATAATCACAATTTTTTTTGCAGCCCTACAAACAAGCTCAGCAATCAGAAAAAATCACTAATAAATATAATTTTGCTGTGATTTTAATTGAATGAATAATAAATATTAGTTTTGAAATTTTACAGCTGTATTGTAAAATAAAATTAATTAAATGATTATGATGATGATGATGATTAAATACTAAATTGTTATTGTTTTATGGTACTTTTACTTTTTTAGTAGATGTAGTACCAGTAGTAATAATAGTAATAATTAATAGTCAAATATATATAAATTGTGCAGCTCTACAAACAAAGGCAATCAACCCTGGGGAATTTTTTGTCATTGCAATTGTTGTTTTTCCAAAATCATAGAAATATTACATTTGATGATGAGAGAATGAGATTTAATTATTAGTATTGAAATCTTAGAATTCTACTGTAAAATAAATGTATTATTATTATTATTATTGTTATTATTAAATACTCATCTGCTTTACAGTTATAATTTATTTTGTTTACGTATTTATTTAGTAGTAGTAATATAAATAATAATAATAACCATATTAATATATAATCAAAACTTTTCGGCTAAATTGTGCAGCCCAACATAAAATCGCAGCAAACCTGGGGATTTTTTTTATGTGTCGCAATCACAACTGTTATCAGACAAATCACAGAAAAATGTTTTTGTATCATTTATTTTTTTAAGATAATAAAATGTTTTGCTGTATACGACAGTGTTGTGTAATGATGTGGTTGGTGTGTGTATTAGAGCCGTGTGTAATTGAGTAGTTTGGTCTTGAATCACCGCAGTGTTGTGTAAGTGTGTCTCAATTTCATCTCAGCGCTTGGACACACACACACACACACACACACACACCGCATGTGAACGGGTTTATAAGGATGAATGCAAATGTGTGTGTTTGATTATGTTTCTGCTGTAGGACTTGTGTGTTTGATCTGTGTGTGTGTGTGTGTGTGTGTGTGTTCCTCCAGGGTGCTGATAAGGATCGGAAAGGTCCAGATGGTCTCAGCGCGTTCGAGGCGGCCGAGAGCGAGGCCATCAGAGATCTACTGAAGTGAGTCGGACGCTGCCGGCTGGAGAGGTTCTGACCACAACCACTGGATCCAGCAAACACACACACCTCTCTGT